ACAAATATTAAGATACAAAAAAGTTTCTAAATTCAATGGCTTTCTAGCTAACTAATAATTTAAAAAAAAATCAAATTTGCGACTAATTTTTTTTGGTTCCAAAGACAAGAGGGCCCACGAAAAAGTGTCTTAAGGCGGTTTCTCTCCAAAAAAACGTAGCACTGTGAGATTCCACATATCATAAAACCCCTGTGTACCAAATTTAGTGATTCTCGTACATGGTTTTGAGATATAAAAAAGACATCTTAGTGGCAGATTTTAGGGAGCTGTAACTCCGAAAGTTGGGGCCAGTTGGCAAAAAGAAAAATTACGGGTCCCCTAAATTTGTCTTGAGAATCTTTGTTGCATGAATCTCGGGACACCATGTATAATAAAAAATTTAAATTCAAGAAGGCAATTTTTTAGATTTTAGTGAAAAATTAAAATAATCATAGTTTTATTATCTCTTGTTTGCCGTCACATCGTCACCATTTTCAAAGTTTGGAATAAAGAATGTGTAGAGTGCTGATCGCATTATGAATCCCTCTTTTGAGTTAATTAATTAAATGACCTACAAAAAATTTAACGTTTAAACAAAAGAAAAGGGTGTTCATCAGAGACGTGGGGATGACGTCAAATCAATATGCAAGCAAATACTGTGCTTTCGATTCTGCAGATGTCATATTGTCCCTAAATGAAATGATAATCGTATTCTCTGCAATAATGTAACTCCGAATAAGAATATGGCCGAGTCGAAGCTTCAGATTCACTGGTACGACGATGTGCGGGCATAAGTGTTGCTTGTCTCTAGCTTATATTATATTAGCCTCTGTCTGAATCTGAAGCCTCGACTTTCCATTATGGCCATACTGTAACTCACATAACCTCACATATTTTTTTATTGCCGCTGTCACATAGAAGATGGCATTTGTCAAATAAAATGTTATAATTTAATTAAAAAAAAAAAAATGTTTAGGTTTATACAAAATACATTCCGTTGAAGTTATATAAATTAATTGACAAGACACTTCATGTGAATTTAATTAGGTACGTTTAGTTTTATTTAAGAAATCAATTTGAAATTCTTCTTAAGAGACGAAAGTAGCATTTCCGGTTTAAGAGAAAAAAATGTCACCTTCGCAGCGATCGCGAAAATCATTACTTTCGTATAGATATACAAATAGAAAATAATGCTTCCTATGTATAATTTACATGGTGCACCATTAATATTGGACCAGAAGAGGCGAAATATACAGGGTGTTTCTGAAACCAGTGCGTTCCTTGAAAAGGGTGATAGAGGACACGAAAATTAGCAACTATTCTCAAGCAATTGATGGTTTAAATGCTTCTGTTTTCAAGAAAATTAGTTAAGAAAACTAGCCATAAATTTAAGCCATGTGCATCTTGTGCACGTGCACAACCAGAATGCTTGGGACTCGCTACAAGCGTGAAGCGCTTTTCTAATTGGCTGACTTTTCCACAATCAAGCAAATCTGATGGTAGGTCAGTAATCAATACGTCTTGTGTTCTTTAGTAGTGTGTTGCAATATTACTTAGCCGGCGTATAAAATGTTTTCTGATCAAGAACTTAGCAGATACGGTGTTGTTAATGTACGAAGAATGTCAGTACAATTTAAATGAGACTTGTCTTTCTCTATGGTCCGTTACCGTCATAAGAGACGATAACCTAACAGTAGAACCGTGCAAAAGGCACTTCAAAAGTTACGCAATACCGAGAATGTCTACCTGACATACAAAGGCCGCAACATGTTTTAGACAATGAAGAAAACATCATAAACCTCGTTGAGGAAGATCTGAGGCACAATACTCGCGACATTATTGGCCGAGAAGTGGGTGTATCTAACATATCAGGCGTTATTCAATAACAATGATTTTCAGCCCCGTGTGGAATTTTGCCAATGGTTTCGACATCAAAGAGCACAAGATCCGGATTTTACAAGCAAGGTGCTTTTTACTGATGAATGTTGTTTTACTAGATATGGCATACTAAATTTTCACAACATAACTATTGGTGTGATGCAAATCTTCACGTTGTTCAAAGACCTCGGTTCCAGCAACAGTTTCCAGTGAATGTTTGGTGACAGAATTTTGACCGTCGTTTGAAAGCATGTATATTAGCATATGGAAACAACTTTGAACAATTTTTATAGAGCAGATCGTCTATTGGTGATTCATTTATTCGTTTAATTGTTGTGTTATCTTTAAACGAGATTTGAATAAATTTCAGCATTTTCGAACACAAAATTTAAACGTCAAAACCGCCATCAGAGTTTCCGCATGGCAGCGCGCGGCAGCTTCGACATCAAGTTTTTTTTTCAATTTAAAACGTAATGTTTTAGACCATCAGTGGCTTAATAAAAGTTGCTTATTTTCGTGCCCTATATCATTTTCAAGGAACACACTTATTTCAGAAACACCCTGTATATCTAAATGTCAAAGTTGAAATTATTTTTCCTGCACGTTTTCGAGTACCGTTCAACCCATTGTCACAAAATTAAGTAGCGCAATATTTTTGAGTATAAGCAATCAAAATTTATGTATGAAAATATGGTTCGGCCATAGAAAGCCGCAATCGCAAATACAAGATGATAAATTTATCGCATATTTTATATTAACGAAACGTTCTATTGACTACAGTGTCTATCCGGATTTCGGACATCATTTCTATGTAAAAATCCAGAAATCTGTCGTAAAAGATTTCTGTTTACGCACGAATTTAAAAATGCTATTGAAATTTATAAAAAATAGGTATTGTAATACGACAAATGAATCGACAGTAAAATTTAATTAATTAAACTAATTATTACAACTTCAGTAAATTTTCGATATAGTTTCCACCTATTTCTATGCATTTTCTAATTTCTCTTGATAAGATTATATTTTACCCAGAAATACAATTAGGTGCCCCCTAATAAAATTGACTGCAACTTGGATTTGTTCGCATAGTTCCAGTATCGAATCAATTATATGTATTTGCGTATACGAAGGTCTTCATATGTACCAAAACATAATAATCTAAGGAATTCAATAATTTTTCTGAGGGCCATGCTAATTCACTTTCTCGGTCGATCCACCTCAAGATGATTTCGATTGGAAGAGCAAAATTAGATAGAGTTCCGTCCTGCAAAACCACATTCTATCCCGTATCTTTAGCGCGAATTATTGTCTTTTATATCACAAAGAGGAATTTGCAGAAAAAAGACCACTGAAGAACAAACGGTCGCAATAGTTAATTTTAAATATGTGCTGAAAGTGGCTTTCTCTCTTAACAAGCGGATTTTCTGTGTAAAAATTTTAATCTTTCGTTCATAAATTCTAATCCTTCGGAAGATTCGTTGGAATTAAATTTTGTACAGGTGTAAAGTGATAAGCGTGAAAGCCTTCTTTGCGTAACATTCTTAGAAAATATTGTTTATTCACTCCTGCTGCCGCTTATGAATGACTTGAGGATTTTCATCTACGCGAATTAATATTCCTTGTACTTGATCTGCAGAAATTCTTATTAGTCCAATAGTACTTTTTAAGGTGAAATATACCTGTTTTTCCCAAACGACGAAACAGATTTTTGAAAATATTATGATTTGTTTGCCTTCTATTTTTAAATGCATACTTCTATGCATACTTATAGCTGATTAGCTGCAGCATGCCTACAAGAATTTTCAAATGATGGAACAAATAATAACCATACGCTTGATTTTTGAATATTTATTAGGGGAAAGTCAAATGTATTTCTTGATGTAAGGAAATATCTTATCAAAATAATGAAAAAATGCGCAGAAATAGGTGGAGGCCATAATTTACTATAAATTGTAATAATTAGTTTAATTAATGCACAGTTTGCGCTGGGTTGTGTTCTTTCGGATAAATGCAACTTTTTTATATTGATAATTTTTCCAAATTAATTACTCTGAACATCTACGAAATAAGAACTGTTTATTGTTCTGATAATAAATTTCAATACATAGTATATTTCAAGTTGAGCTGAAGAGTAAGCATAAATCTCCTAGTTTTCTTGAAATTCCCCCAAATGTATCTTTTTTACGTAGAAATTACGTCCGGATCAAATTTTGTAAAACGTTTCGTCAACAAAGAATGTGAGTAATTCATCATCAGATACTGCAAATGTAGTGCCCTCTATGATCGAGCTTGATTTAATACATAAATTATGATTCCTTATCTAATAAATGTTTTCCTACTAAATTTTGTGACATTGCGCGAGTTTAAAAAAAACTTTCAACTTTGACTTCTCCATACCTTTTTCTACGGTAACATTTTACCAAGACATATTTAGCTTGTATACCCATATTTTGATTCGAATATTTCGCACCTGCTCTTTGGTCCATTTTTATTGGTTCACCCTGTATATTTAAAATATCAGTTTCTTATACAACACCATAGGAACAACGTACTTATTCTGAATACGACATTTAATTGGTACTGTAATGATTTTGGGAACTGTAATACCAAAAAAACAACAAAAAATATTACATGTATTTAAGTTTGATACTGAAATATTTATAGGTATTTTTGGGTTAGTCTAAAGAGGTTTTTAATAAATCTATTAAAATAGTGTGAATAGATGCTTATTATCTATATAGATTATATATCTGGGTTTAAAGTTTCTTTTCGAATTAAATTGATTATCGGCGTCCCATCTCATTAAAACAAGTCGGAACCGAATTGCCCGATACCGGATAACAATAGCTCGTCCACTTTTTGCGTGTAATTATAAAAGTACAGTCTGGCGGAAAGAACAAGCATCTCGCAGTTGTCATAGCGACGCGGTCTGATCAAGTACAGTTGCGACATGATTTCGCGAAACAACGTACCCACGACTGGTGACAAGACAGGTACAGTCAGGGAATATCGATCGCCTAATCAAGACTTTTGCCCCTCTACTCATTTAGAATGCGTGAAAAGCAAGGAATGTGGCTGCAATCTCTAAATATCAAATTATTAATTAACGCCGCCAACGGACACAATGCAACATTTTTACTCACATTGGTGTTTGTCGGCAAGTTGAATCAGCTGGCTGGGCAAATCCCGTCTCCTGTAGAAGCACATTACTTTGGCTTCCACATTTCCCGATGCAGTTTTGTTTAATTCTTCTATGCGCCGGATCTGATACGGAGACGTCGAGGTCGTTTCGAAGTACACATAATCTACAAAAACATGGACCACTAAATCGTTGTGACCTGATTTTCATTAATATCACAACTATGATCTAATACAGCACATAAACAATAAAATTTATATCAATTTTTCCGTATACGAGTACGTATACACACTTGCTTAAGTAAACTTCTTCTTAAGTACGACAATAAAAACAAAACTGAGCAAAAGGTTCATTGTTCCTAATGTTATTAAAACATGATTGTAATATAGCCAAACTATAGGCTATACGGTCAGAAAATAGAAAAAACTAAGCTATACTAGTAATCATTTGGTAAACAGTATTAAATCAGATAATGAAATTATCTACATATTTCATTGGGAGTTTCGCTTACTAAATTAGCGAATCTAGTAGGAGATATTATGTGACTTGGAATATATTAACTAGCCTTCATATCAATTAATTGATTTAGAGGTATCAAAAATAAAAATAAACATCCTAGGAGCAAGTAATTAAATAGAACAATATAATGTACTAACTAAAAATAAACCCTCTAACGACGATGAAATAAACAAAAATATTCGATTCGAGTTCTACAACTAGTGTGATTAGCGCTGAGGAAGAGTTCCTTCTGAACGAAGCCGGTTAATTAATAACAAGTAGATACTAACCTCCGACACGATACATATTCGCCGTCATCTTCAAACAGAAAAACTATAATGTTCCTAATAAACACTACATCAAACAAACATTTTTAAATAATCGTTAAATTTATTCAATGTTTATATCACTGCACATAATACCACCACCAAGCTCATAGACGCCATTTTCTCAAATCAAACTCCCTGTCGGCGTCTGGGATATAAAGAATTATAGAGTAGTAAAATCTAACAACAGCGCCAAAAGAACTAGCAGCGGGCAGTAGCCCAACTTTACAAAATAAGAATGATAAAATAGGAACATACTTTAAAAATGATTAAAAACCTCAGGAAGGAACCTATCCGATTTTTAAGAAGTTTAAAAAAATATAAAATACCTATTTGAAGTGGAAACAATCTCATAATTTCTTCAATTTAATTCTGGATAGTATCTTAATCGAATTATATATTATATAATACTTAATATGCAAATTAAAAAACATAATGATGTTACACTCGAATCAGGAAATATTGATTAAATTTTAAATTAAAAAAAATTAATTAAGCCGTAATCAACATCGAGACTTATTTTATCGCGGTTGTTTTACGGCAAACATTTGATTGGTTAATCTTGTGGGCCATCACGTAGACTACCAATAAGGCTTTTGCCGTAAACCTTTGGCAAGAACTGCGATAAATATGTGCTTTCCTTTTACATTTGCGAAATGTAGAGAAAAATAGTTCTGCTAATTGTTTTATACGTTAGGTTTTCAAAAGTTGTTTTAAAAATTTTAATCTGTTTATAAATAAACTACTAATCTATAATTATTATCATTAAAACGTTAACCACTGAACAGAGAGACAGCGGCGTTCTCACAGAGATATATCTGGGTTCTCAGGATCCGAATTTGCAAATTCTAATTGAATAATAATTGAAATGAACAGTAAATATCTTTACTCTATAAGAATAATATTTATATTTCACAATTGTCGACTATATATTGATGTTTATCTTAAATATAAAGATTAATAGAGGCGTAAGAGTAAGAGACGCATTTAAAAATTCTGTCGCAGAAAGTGAATATGTTAATAATAGACGGGGAATCCTTATCGTTCAGATTAAGATCGGATTGATCAGCCGAAGCGGATGAAGATATGCTTGGGCACTTATTTTTTGGTATAAGTGCAAAGGTGCAATCAGTTAGTGATATGGATCTATATCTCTGTAATTGATTTAAGTTTGTAAGTTTAAGGTTATTTGAATTTATAAATCTGTTTTAGACTTTTTAGCTTAAAATTTTGAGTTGTCCGTTTGTTTTTTTGTGATGTGCATCATATTCAATAAATTAAAAAATATATATATTATTCAAATTCAAAACTATAAAACTTTGTTTCTTTCTTTTATTAACGATTGATCAGTCTCAGCTGCAAATCCGACGATTTTGATTTCGAATATTCCTATTCAGGGTAGCTAATTTTAATAGTTTAATCATAATTAGCCAGATCACGTCGGCATTCAGCTATATGTATAGGCGCGCGCCGTTATTCCATGGCTAGAAATTGGCCTCGATGATTTAGGATCGAGGGGGATTATCCCTCTTTATCCTGCCTCATCTCGTGTAGGCCTGGACAGCCTTCGTAGGTGTGCCCCATCCGTCGTCTACCCCGACCGCAAATGCGGCCGGTGTAGGCGCTTTGTGGGACCTCCTTTTGTCCTGGCTGGGCCCCGCCGGCTAGGGCCCTTTCTTCTGGCGCTCTTCTTGCTTCGCCGGCTCGTCTGTGTAAACCCCGGGGGTGGTGTCATGTTTATGGTTGGGTAGGGTGGTGCGGCTATGCAGCCTGGGATGCGCTTTGCTAAGGTGGCCCTTAGACTAGCGAGGGAGGGGAGGGTTAAGGAGGGTATGGGGCAAACGATGTTTCGAGCTAATGAGCTGTGTTCCTTGCATTCTTGCATAACGAAACTAACAGCTTATTTCCAGCTTATTTCATTCATTTGCACTTTTGCACTCAGTGACAGAATATTACCATTCTCTACTATCAAATTAAATAATAAATTATGGAAATATAGTTTCAGTGCGCGCACTTACTGCAAAAGTACACAAGAATGGAAAACGCTGTATCACAAAGCGCTATCTAGCGGAGTGCTAGAAAATATATTTCTTGTTTCCTATTAATGCTTTACCACTCTATTATCTGTTTCCGATCTTCGTCTTAGGTTATGTTGCTCATCATAAAAAGCAGAGCATGCATGTTGTTTTTTGGAATTTTGGAAAAATTTAAATTTATCAAGTGTTAAGAAGTGTTTTAAATTAAAATGAAAAAAATACAATAAATTCTACAGTACAAATGTGATAGATTTCTTCTCGTCATTTCATAATCGTTTAATATTGCAAAATGGAAAAAGAGTATCTTACAAAAGATCATTTAATTGGATTTGATAACTACAAGGTTAGTTCTTAGTTTTAATTTCTAATATTACCCAATTAGATTATTACATATTTAATTCTTTAGCGTCAATGTTTGTTTCCTGTTTTAATGTAATACTATATTTACTGATTTACTTTGTTGTTAAGTCAACCCTGAGAAGAGTAGTTTTAGTTGTATTCTACTACAATTTCATTTGGTATCAGGCTCACACCTGTTATTATAGTGCGGAATAAGTACTACGAGTTTTATTTCTACCAAAGTCTTAACTTCAATTAACTTCTAATTTAAAGTTAGCCATTTTATTCATTTTACTTTAAAGCTGGTTACAGTAACCAATATATGTATGTATTTAAATAAATAAATTGTCGTTTCAATAACCTCATAGATCTCAGTTTGTGGGTTTAGTAAATTTTTTTATTTGAAAAGGGGATGGGGAATATTAAGAGATAATTTACTGTGACTAGGAAAAATTGCCCGTGCACCTTTCGATATTCTGTTAACATACATACATACTTGCATGCTACGCTACAGAAGGAGACAATCATGGTGGTTGTTAAGAGGTTTGTAGAAACATAATAAACTGATATAATTATAAAAAAATATCATCTAATGAATATATATGTATGTATGTATATATGTGTATATATGAATACCTATAATGCACATTGTTTAATGATTCTTAATCTTAATAATATTAGGTAATCTATAAAGCATCCTGTTTAACATTTAAAATGTTATTTGTGTTTATATTAAACAAATACCAATTCAAAAGCAGTTTTACAAGTTGACTAATGAGGCCAAAGATCCTACCCTTGTTTGCTGATTAGATAAACGTTAGTAATGCATTAGCATTATTTCTCAGAATTTCCTAGAAAATATTCACAAATAAATTAGAATAAAATATATATAATATATCTACTATCATCACTTAATAACTTTCTTATATTTTCTTCAATATTGAAGTAGTGAATATGTATTCAATACCTACATGTAAAAACTAAAGAGGATAACTAAAATAACAAATTAATTGTGTATTTAAAAAAAAACTTTCCATAATTATAACTATGTTCAGAAAATCAGAATCAGATATCTAATTTCTTCTATGAAAAATGATTTTTAAAATTTTTCTTTACAGTACAGCTGCAAAGATACTGGAGTGCTCAGTATATATGTTATGCACCCGTTCTGGAATTGGTTAGTGCAGGTAAGGAGTAAGAATTATTCCAAGTAACACAGAAATAAAAAACCTCAGTAATTGTAAGTTTAGATTTGTTTAATAACAAATCAAATATATAGATAGGGTTAAAATTCAAGTGTCTTGATATTCAGAAAATGGTGATAATTCCACAAATAAAAGTTATTAAACATATTATTATAACACTTATTAAAAAAATTGTTATACCTATACATGATTCCTGTTATCAGTTTGATATAAATAGCAAGCATAACACTTGATAGAAATATGTCGTTGATAAAAATTACATCTGAGAAAACAACTTGTAACAAGAATTTTTTTTTTTAGTTTTGTCCAAAATGGATTGCTCCCAATCTTTTGACATTCTCGGGATTTTTGTTTACTTTGGCAATATTTTTGCTCTTTGCTTTCTTGGACTACAGCTTTTACGCCTCGGATCCTGATCGTCCAGAAGTACTTCCCCTTCCAAGGTGGACTTTTACAATGGCAGCTATTTTTTTGTTCATTGCGTATACTTTAGGTAAGTACCTACTACCCGATTTATTTGTACGAAAAAAATGAATTCATCTTAATATTTCGATTAGTATTAAAAATAATGAATATACACTCGATTTTTTGATTATTTTTTATTCAAGTATGTATATGTCAGAATATCAGAATGGCTTTACTCAGCTCATATGAACTATGTCACGATATTTTGATAATAATTAACTTTTTTTGTGAACTACATTAAACAATAAGTAATTAATTATAGTTGTACATAAACATCTAATTACAGGATAGGTATTTGAATACGTCCTTAATAAATAAAATTATTTAATAAACTTTACAGTAGAATTTTTTAAAGTTCCAGTTATACTGTATTGTTTATAATTATTGTCGGAAGTTCTTTAATAAAATTACCTAGGAAGAGCGATAAGAGAAATGTTATAATGATTTGACAATTATTATATTAATGTTCCAGGTTATGCCTAAATCAAAATACTAAGACGTACTTAATTATTGCATATTTCTTAATTTTACACTAAAGATGGTTTCAATAATAATTCACAAATTATATGAATGGTGGTCACATAAATACAGGATGAGTTTAAATTGTCTGTCGATATTTTCAAGAAAACGGTGGTCATTTTGAACAATTTCTATAACTTATCAATACAAATTGTATGTTCGTTATTTTGTTTAAGTTGTTTGTTTTTCTATTAAATTATTCTTATTCCAACTATCTTTCCTGATCGCCAAGTTTGACGTTTAAATTTTTAGCCAACTTGAATTTTCGATGATACAATACATATTATTAATTATTCATGTTTTTGCTGAAAATGACAAAGTTTTTTGAAAACTAACAAGAGTAAGAAAGGTTTTAGAATTAAATTCCTTATAAAATATAGTAATAATTTTTTAAGTCCGCCAACGGGTTAAAACATTCTGTCACATTTTAATGGTGCATCATCTCTTATCAACCTTTCAAACTGCTTTAATTAAACTCTACTTACTGTCGATTAATGCTCTTGGTACACTCACACCATGTAGGACCAAATTTGGTTTTTCTAAGTTAAAGTGTAACTGAGATTTTAATTTTTTTCAAAATTTAAAACCCCATATTCAAGGCCTATATCTTCTCAGGGGTACAGCTTAGTACAAATGTAAGTTGCGTTAAATCGCTATATTTTGGGTTTCCCTTCATGCCTCTGCTGTGTGTCGGTTCTTATGCAAAACACCCTGTATTACTAACAATGATATAATATTAATAATAACTTCTATCCCTCATTGTAATTGCAAGAATTAGCCCAGAAGTCCGAGACTTGTGTGGGAGAGAGGTCGGTATCTTATTATATAGTAGGCCATATTTGCGCCCCCCCAATTTTAAAAGTCTTTTGAGAAATTGTATTTGTATTTTGAACATGGACTTTAGGCTTGGTTCTTAAGGCAGCTGACATTCAATGTCAGTGTTACAAAACGCTTTTATTAAATTCAATGTATTGGAGTCGGGGGATAATCTAAGGAATTTTAAGAACTACCCAAAATCAGTCACCCTATGCTAGTTCAAAGAAAGCGCCCGAAAAATTCAATTTGTGCAAATAACAGAAACGCATTTTTTTATACAAACAAATAAGAAAGAAGGTCTACTTCTAATAATCAAATTTTGCAACTGCCCTTCTTAACTTTTAGAACCAACTTTTTTTTTAAGAACTGCCTTTATTTCGGTTAGAACTAACCCTTAGATTATGCGCTGATTAGAGTCTGGCAATGATCACCAGCAATTATTATCAGCATTTACCGTTTTCTTAAAAGTCGGGGCCTTTAATTTTCATGAATCGTCGTCACTGCAGAACACGTAATTTCACAAAAAAACTTCAATTTATTAAATTTAAACAAGAATATTTTTTCCTCTATAATAGCCTAGAAATCAATATTTAACATTGAAAAATAAAAAAGTTGGGGACATACAGTGATTTTTAACTCCATTATTCATTTTCATCAAAAAAGTATGCAAAATGGTACCTTTGCTTTTTATGTACCAAATGTTCTGAAGGAGGCAATTTAGGGCCACCTTGCAAAAACCTTTTTTTTTCTTCGAAGATACAAGAGTAATTTTGTTTTGGAAATTTTAGATGGGATAGATGGGAAACAAGCAAGACGAACTGGCACCAGCAACCCTCTAGGTGAACTGTTTGACCATGGGTTGGATTCGTACACGGCTGGTCTCATACCAGCCGCTATGTATTCAATATTTGGACGAGGTGCTAGATACAGTATCATTCCATTTCGAATGTTCTTCACGATGTGGAACGTGTTGATAAATTTTTACTTGTCTCATTTCGAAAAGTACAATACTGGAGTGTTGTTTTTACCTTGGGGTTACGACTTTTCCATGTGGGGAACCATTCTGACCTTTTTAATAGCAGGGGTAAGGATGAGAAAAGTTTAAATTTTATTAATTGAAATGCTAGTCAAGGTCAATTATGCGAATAAATAAATGCTTCACTATGAAGGGTGTTTAAAATAGACACAACAACAAATTACGTTAGAGTCCTTAGTTCCATTTTATGTTGTTGATGTCACCAGCTGCAATTTTCTCGTGACATTTTGAGTTAAATTTTTGATGTTAAGTTAGACATTTTAAGTTAACTTTTTGAGTCTAGGTTTTTGTTTATTATAAAGAAGGTTTTTTAACTTAATAATATTGACCTCTGTAAGGCAGTCAAAAACTAACAACACTGACATTTTTACTGTGTGAAATTTTGTTCCAAATCATAAAAATTTAACTGAAATTGGATGTTAAGATATCATTTTTGGCTCCTGTAGTCAAATTCATCGACCATATGAGAAGACATTATTATTTTTTATATATGTTCTTTTAGTCCTTGAATTTATAACATCTTATTTTTAGACATTCTATAGAGGGTGTTTTGGAAAATGTACCATAAATTCAGGGACTGATAGAACATTAAAAAATAAGAATTTCATGTGGACCTATCGTCTTTTGTTTTTGAGATATAAGGTGTCAAACATAATTTTTTAAAATCAAGTTGAAACCATCTTTTTCAAAAATAAAAATATAACAGTAAAATTTAATACATGTAAGGTTTGATGGTGCTAAATATCTGGTGGTGTTATAAATTTTTGACCATCTGCTAAAGGTTGCTAACTGCAACCTTTCCCAATTACATTTTATGACATCATTTTTTTGAGATTAGATTTGTTACAATGGAAACTTTCTCTTTCTGAGAAAAATTCAATTGACTGTCTCAGAGTTGACCAGTATCTACTTAATATACAGGGCGTGCAGAAGCAAATGGTCCATACTCCAAGGGTAGCTTCCTCGGATAAAAATAAACTGATTTAAATCAAATTACCTTGGTACAATTTTCCATCCTGAAAAAGTTGTTAATATTAGTTGAAACAGCAAAAGCAAAATTATATTAAAGTAACTTGATTTAAATTGACTAATTTTCATTCAAGGAAGCTACGATTACAACTTAGTCGCTTCGTTTTTCGACACCGTGTATGTTGAAGAATGGAAGCTGTAATGTAAATCAGTGGCGGCTCTTGACATTGAGAATAGGTGAAGCATATTCATATCAAGCACCACAGGCGACAATTTTTAAGGTCAAACAGGTTTAAATGAATCTGGAAATTTTTAGTTGCATTTGCAATATTACCGAAAAACTGACGTTCATGACAAGGATTTTCATTTAGATTTTATAAAAACTAGAAACAATTAAACGCGGCATACAGAAAAGTTTTTTGAAATAAACACTTCCACACAACTACTTATACTCTGAATACCATTCATTCCAAACCTTCCGAACGTACACTTTATCTTTTGCTTTCCCCCTTTTTTCCACTTCGAGAGAAGGCACTTGCAATTTAAAAAATCCGTTTTGTCCTCAATTTTCCATTTGGAAAATGGGGTTTCCAATAAAATACATACTGAATCATACATAGAAAGCATTTCTACAATTATAGATACAAAACAAATATTAACAAAGAACCGTTATAATCGTGTGCTGGGTGACGTACCGTATAAACTGTTTAAAGGCAGGCGATGGGCGATGGCAATGCTGCTTCAATTTCCAGGTCACTCATTGTCATGACACCCGCCGTAACAATGCTACGAAGGGAAGCGGAATACAAACTGATTTTGATCCACGTCACTTGTTTATGCTATACGTTGTATGGTACATACGAGGTTGAAGCTCGCGCTAAACGAAGACAATGTTTTTTCAGAAGGCGTTCACCGCACATTTATTCTGTTTATTTCAGCATATAAAACAAACAAACACAATACATTTTCAATATAGCCTAAATTTATACAAAAATAAAAAATAAATTTAAATTACACAGCCAAACTGAAATTTTATGTGAAGCGGTGCGTCACTTGGCAAGCCGCCAGTGATGTAAATGTAGTTAAATGAAATTTCACACTGTAATACATATATGACAAAAAAATATGACGTAAAATGTCACAGAGAAAGATCATAGCTAACTACTTTTAGCAGAAGGTCAAGAACAAACATATTAAAACTTAAAACAAAAAATTATCTGTACCATATTCTAATGCATTCTATTGTTTTTTTGGAAAAGATAAAGCTAAAATTTGGATTTAAAAAATCGTCTCATGCCCAGAATATCAAAAACAAAAGGCAATAGGACAACACTCTGTTTATAATGTATTTTTCTATATAACTTGAGTCCTGTATTGATTAAATTCAACTAAAATTATTCAGGTACATATGACAATGTGCCATGGTATAGTTTAACTTATTTTAGTATGGAGGTCATGAGATCTGGCAGTTTATCCTACCAGGCGGAATAACAACAGGAACGATGTTCGAGATGTTACTATATGTCTCATCGTTAATTTCCAATGTACCAGTGGTGTTATACAACATATACAAGTCGTACAAGAACAAAACCGGTCATATGAGACCTTTCACTGAAGCTATCAGGCCGTTGATACCCATAGCCACATTTTTCATCATTACACTAGTGTGGATTCTCAAGTCACCATCGAACATAATAGAAAAAGACCCTAGAGCTCTCTTCTTCCTTATGGGAACAATATTTTCAAACATAACTGTAAGTATTCGCGAAATGTTTACATTGAGGAAGTGAGGATTTCGTTGAGTTTGTTGTTGAGAGAAAAAAAAACTGATTTGTTTTCTTTGCTTTTAGTGCCGCTTGATTGTTGCCCAAATGAGTCACACGAGGTGTGACGCATTTAATTCACTTTTAATCCCAACTGTAGCAGTTGTAATCACATCTATAGGACTACAGTCGGAAATTTTAGAGCTTCTTCTTGCATACAGTTTGTGTTTGTTCACCACTTTGGCTCACATACACTATGGGACCTGTGTGGTGAGTACTTTTGAAAATTTGTGACACGGCATGTCAACTACAATATTACTTTTATGTTATTTTAATGATGTTAAGCTCAGATTAGATAAAAAAAAATTCCTTGAGGTGCTGATTTTTTTCTAAAATAACATCGAATGAAGTCAATGTTCTTCGATACCAGAAATCTAGGTAGGTATGCACCTAACCTAACCGCACAGTCAAGATTCCTAACTGTTGATATTGCAGGAAACTACTACTCCTTGAGCTACATGCCCCAACTAACATTGAATTATACCAGTAATATCTAGGAATTAACTAGTGATAATTATATTTAGAATATTTTTAGTTTTTGTTTTGGATTATTTATTACTAGCTGTTTACTAAATATTGCTGGTGCGATTCAGTGCTAATTGGGGCACGTAGTCCATAGAGTAGGAGTTTCCTGCAATATCAACAGTTAGGAATCTTGTCTGTGTGGTTGGGTATCTTTTGCATACCCATATTTCTGGTATCAAAGAACATTGTTTGACATCATTTCATAGGATTTTTTGAAAAAATGTTTGAATTTGAAACAACTTAATAGCTTTTCAATATACTAAAAATATGAGAACTAATAATAGAATATATATTTTATAAAAAGGTACTTTGATAATCTTGAGTGCAGAATAGCATAATAGGGTCAAATATAACGAGCGTTCAAATAAAAACGTGGTCAAGTTGGTTCTGAAAATTTGGACGTAGGGCGTAGCGTATAGCAAATGAAGTTAAACGTCATCTGTCAAAGCGCTATATCGCCGCTATCAATTTGAATATTTTCGTTTTAAAAAGCGTTTAAATTGGTGTTTTCTCAAGAAGTGTTTATCATAGACTCCTACTTTAGAAATGGACGCAAGATTGATGGAATATGGAAGTATTCTATTGAGGAATGTTTCATAGAATTTCAAAATCAATTTCCCGGCGTTGTTGAGTACAAAATTTTTCAAAGTGCAGTTCAGCGCTGTGTTAATGTTTTTCGTGATTCGGGCAGTGTAACAAGAAAAGAAGGAAGCGGCCGACCTAAAAAGCAGACTGAAGAATTAAAAGAAAATGTCCAACAAATAATGGAAAATGCGCTAGGAACTTCTGTACGTGTTTTATCACAAATGGTGGGTGTATCAGTCGGTACCTGCCACACAGTGTTAAAAAGAGATTTGCGTTTGTTCTCCTATCGTTTAAATAAATAAAATAAAGTTATATAGTCATTAACGTTATTGAAACTGACAGCTGCTATACAGCTCGTTGAGAAATGAGGTTAAGTTGGTCGCTATAAGCTACTCCCTAAGTCCAATGTGTCAGAGCCAACTTCGACCACGTTTTTATTTGAACGCTCGTTACTTGGTCTATTCGCGAATGCAGCTAAGAGCTCGCCCTCTGGCGGTGACACTAGCGAAACAAGGTAAACATTTCTTCTGTGTGTGACATTTCGTTTTGTATTTTATTTAAAACTGTGTTTAGTGTTTGTTTTTTGAACAGTTATTTTAAGAAAATAGTGTGAGGAAAACTTCAGCAATTATGGATAGAAAGAAGAAACTCAAACTATTATTGTTCAGTTCAAGGTTGCTCTTCATGGTCCAAGAAAAATCCAGAATTAAGTTTTCATCAATCCATTGAAGAAATTTTCAAAATATTATTGCCGATAGATAATACTCCCTGAATTTCATGAGGGTTGTTAGTAAGTAAGGGCACTAGTTTGCAGACACAATATAAATTTCTAAATTTAAATTAACTTTTCCCAATTTTACCATATAGTACCACATGATCAGCGTTAAAAACTGCCTCTCCTTCTGATATACGAGAGTTTTCGTTGTCATATATGTAAATAGGAAATAACCTAATAAGATATACATTAAATTGTAATGCTAGAGACAAATAAAGTAGACATAAATACTTGCCTTAAAATTTATTAATGAAATATTTGATACCTATAAAATAACACAAAAGTCAAATAACCGCAGTGTGATAACAATATTACTAATAATAATGGCAAATAAGACAAATGTTGTTCAAATGAATGTGTAAACACAAACGGCAATGTCAAAATTACCTTGTTTCGGAGCTTACTGCTTTCACCGCTTGGTGCGCTTGCATCTTAAAAATTATCGCGGATAGTTGTTTCATTTGCAAGTTACAATGTATTTAAGTTTTTATGAAAGATGTATTACAAAATTTGCAAATATTTTGTAAATTCAGTTGATCGTATTTCAAAGAAATATTGTCCATTTTATTTGTAAAATAGGTAAAATAGTTGAATAAAAAAAATAACTTCACAAAAAAAACATTTTCATAAATGTTGCGACCCTCTTAAAAACGATGTAGAAATTTTTAATTTTTTCACAGTTAGGAAGGAGCAAAATGTGACTGAATTCTCCATCTCCATACTTTTAATATTACATTGTCCTTATTTTTTTTTATGAACGGCTTTAAAATAATTTTCAAATTGTTTATTTTAGACTAAAAAATAACTAAAAAATTATTTGTTTTTGAACATAACGGAAGAGCCTCCGTTTCCTTCGAAATACTATTACGAATGAACGTATTGAATTTCCAAAATAATTGCTAACATTGAAATTTTGAGGTTCTTAATGATGGTGTCTCAGTATCTCTGTTATATACAGGCTGATTCACTTTACATGATTTGAACTTTATCCATCCATAGATCTCGTCAATATAATGTCATTTTGAAGTATACACTTTTTCTTCCAAAGTCTTGCTTTTAGAGATATAGCTCTTGAAGTAACTTTTTTTTTTGGTTTTTATTTATTTTTTCTTAAACTGTGAAAACCATTTGTTTTATATTTAGTATGAAGTGTACGAATGAAAGCTCTATCGATTTTACAAATTATTGTGAAAATATATCAATCATAGACGTTCCTAACAGGCTCTGATAACCACTATTTTTAATATAATTTCTACGCTACTGGAAATTTTTCCCAATTTTTTTACATTGGGGTTTACTCTGCAGCAAAAAGGTCTCTTACTATTTTTAAATGAAATATTTGGTTTTTGAGAATAATGACTTCTTATGGATTCATTGCAATTCGGTAAACAGAGTAATGATTGATGTACGACACTATTTAAATTTGTGATTAAGAAGAGGTTCAGAATGTATCAGTTATGTGTTAATATTATTTTAAACAGTTTCTCAGTATTAAATATTTTAGTCTGTATTACTTAAAAATTTAACCATTTCACATGTAGTGAATCGATAACAAGCCATTTTTCTCAAAAACCCAGCATTTTATTTAAAAATAGTAAGGGACCATTTTGCTGTAGAATAAACTGCAATGTAAAAAAAATTTATTCTATTTTCTTTCTATTTTTTTTCAATCTATTTCTACAATAATTTGTATACTTAGTCGATAGAGTTTTTCATTCATATGCTTCATACTAAATATAAACAAATGGCTTTCATAATTCAAGAAAAAATAAATAAAAACCAAAAAAAAAAGAATTTTTCAAGAGCTTATATCTCTAAAATGAAGTCTTTGGAAGAAAAAATGTATACTTCAAAATGACATTATTTTGAAGAGATCTATCGATGGTTAAAATCCTAATCATAAAAAGTGAATCACCCTGTATATATAACTGTATGCAAATTCACTGAATTTGTACCTTTATTTAGTTAAGTCGCCACCCCAAATTCCATTAATCTACACTAAATGTTGAATTTCCTGATATTTGTGTATTTGTGATGTTTTTCAAAAAGTTAAACATCCTGTAACTGTAATATATATTTGGTCGCGTTATCTTTCTTATTTTTTAAATTAATCTAAAATAATAAAAAATCTGCTTATAATGTTCATACCTTTCGTTTTCTGAATTTGCAAAATATCTATTCAAACAAAAAACATGCAGTGAGAAATGGCTTTTACAGGTGACCTTTCTGGCTTATCATACAAAGTTTCATTTTTCTGAGAGCACGATTATCCTAAAACATTTGAACATTTTCAGGTGCGGCAAATGTGCAGGCACTTCAGAGTCAATTGTTTCTCGATTAAGAAGCAGTCCGCTTGACTACTAGTCGACAACGCATGATGGAATCAAGTGTTGTCCCTCGGATCTGCACAGTCTCAAGTCACTGATATTAGCTATAATTTTCCGTAGATGTTTTGTATGTAAATCAATTTGCTTAATCAACGTTTATGTGGGCTGGTTGTAATGCAAGACACAGATGCAGTTCTGAAATTTCACGTCTATATATTTCCATACTTTTTTTTTATTAATTCGTATTGAATTCCGAAGACTTGCTCATTAATATTAGTTAAAATTAAGGCCTAAACTATTTGTAATATATATTTTTCCTTGATTATAAAATCGGTTATTCCCAGTAGATCCTTTTTGGCCAATACTGATCGTCTCGCTTATTTTACCAAAGAATTTAAACAGTTGTACATAGATACTTTAATTTTGTTGTATATATTATGAAACATATTAAAATATATAGAATTTACAATCGTCTTATTTTTCCTGACGAAATGCTCTGTGACTAACCACTAATATCAGAAATTGTGTCATTATCATGTATTTGTAATGCAATCAAACTTAAAAATAAATAAATAAATTGTAAGAATTATTTATCGATTCATTTACCCCAATCTTAGTAACAGTGACCGTTAATTGAAGTTTATTATTTTTTTGTTTTAAATATAGTGTTGAAACTGAAACATTGGAATTGTTTACTCTATTCATAGGATTAAAAAAAAAGAAATTTGTCAATTAATACCTTTATAATAATAATAATAATAAAATAAAAAATGTAAAAGCTAATAAAATATATATTTTTAAAAAGTTTAGGGTAATATCAATAGTTAAGAATCTTGTCTGACGTTATATATCTTTAGCATACCTAGATTTTTGGTATCAAAGACAAACATTGACTTCATTGGTACGATTTTTTTAGAACGTTTTTTGAACTTATTTGGTTTAGCTTGATACCTTTATAATGGAGGAAAAAATGCGAGAGCTAATAAAATATTTTAAAAGTATTATAATGGCCTGTCACAGATTTTGATAGGACAATGGTGTATTTCCATCATAGCTCCACGTTGGGCGCCATGTCGCAGAATTTAGTAGGTTGGTCGTCTAGCTCCTGCCTCACGTTGGGCGCCATATCGCGTATTTTAGTAGGTTGGTAGTCTATCCCCTGTCATAGTCCCACAGTGGGCGCAATGGCGCAAATTTTGCTCGGTCGGACTAGCTCGCGATAAGTTGACCTACCATCATCTTCCCATAACATGTTTAGAGCTTGTCTGCATCGTCATGGATGTCTCTGGGATGATTTTGGCGACAATCACGATATCTGCGAAGCCTCACAAGAAATATTGGAATGATTGATGAAAAATTTAGTTCTTTTTATGTTACTGCTTTAAGTGTTTTTATATTTAAATTTTTTAAATTTAAATTAGAAGGCCAATTCCTATTAGCATTTTTGTCCAAAGTGTACTAAAATTCTATCGAGTAATTTTTATCCAATAACATAGGGCTGAATTTCGAAAAAAATTACTTATTGTATTTAGAAAGAAACTTTTTTAATATAGCTCTAAAGTAACATCAGTAAACACTAAAACACGTACTAGGAATTTCAGTTCAATACACAGGGTGTTTTCTTAAGTCATCTAAAATATATCAGAGGGTGATTCTCCAAATTATTTTACAGAACAAAGTTCGTGATAACAAACGTCCAAAATTATCTCCCAAAAAAAAAGGGTTGAAATTTGACTTTTTTACTTAATCTGTTTAACACGTTGACTGCGCACACCAGGCTTGAAGCAACGATAGGTTGCTTGAAAATGACGATAAAATCGGCCAACGCCATCGTATTTGATATTGATTATACATTAAAAAAATGCTTAGTTTAAAATCCTAGCTGATCCTGTTTTGAAGACATCGATATTTTTCATTTTTCAACCATGCTGTAAAATTTTATTTAGCATAATTTAAATAAAAAGTCATTGATACATAAAAACATTTATTATTTATATATATATAT